TTTGGATCAGAATGAGCTTTTAGTTCATTCGATTTACGCAGTAACTTTTGTTTGTCGACTTATTTTCTTGCAGGAACAATTGCTGACTCATTCCCAACCAAGTAAATTCGCTGAGAAATTAGAATTTTGTTATAAGAGAGGACTACTCTAGGCAATTTTTATCCTTAACTAGATTTTGCATTTCTCGTTATTTCCGGGATCTGCACTGCACTTCATGTTGTAGTACCCTTCATTTGCACTTTCATAATCTCCTACTCACTGCAGAAGTGCAAGCAAAGATCACACTTAGGGCTCAATCTGAGAAAATAGAACGAAGAAATTTGCAAAGTTTGTTGAGAAAGAAGTTGTAGATGAATGTTTACGAAGTATTTGAAGGAGGAATTATCATACTACTTGACTAGACGTAGAAATAACTCCGGAAAGCCCTCTAAAAGCAATTTCCGTGCAAAAACTTTGGCGCAACCTAATTTTGGCTCGTTGCCCTGGATTAGGTCCAAAAAAAAACGATAACCTCGGCGGGAAATGGCTTCGAGTTTGGCGCAATCGGCTACCGTACCACGCTTGAATCAGGAATTAGGTCGCAGTTGGGCGGTCCGTTGTCAACAGGGCCTCGCGGGGCCGACGGGGGAGTCATTCCAGCGGACTCGCGTTTGCTAGGAGGTTGTTCCCGGTCTTCAAGCCTTTCTCTTCTTTCCTTCTTCTTCTCCACCAACACCAATCGCAATGGCCACCGCAATGATGTCTCAACCATCGCGATTCTCCGTCTACGGTTAGTCGAATTTTTCTTGGGTAAACTAGGCATTAATGCGATTTCAGTAGTAGAGAGTCTAGTGGCTCTAAGTGTGTCGCTTTATCGGTGTTCTCATTGGTTCCCAAAAAGGCCTTTTGAAAACATTCCGATATTGCAGGAAGCGTCGGCACGCCAAGCAACAACCTGGGGCGAAAACTGCCCTAAAACTATTGTGTGTAAAATCACTATATGAAAATGAAGTTGCGAGAGGCGAGTATAAGCAGCCGCTGACACGTCGAATGGGGATGGTCGCGACATCGGCACCACCTCCATCACCCAAGGAAGAAGCGGACACATTAAAACGGTAGAGGGCATTGAGACAACTTGACTTGACTCTGATTGGCGTGCTTCCAGTAGTTCTAGGCTTAGGCTAGGTTAGGTTACTTCCTCTCGTAACGGCCTTGTAAGCTGCGTCTGTAACTGACTGGTACAGGTTTTTCCTTCACGAGAAAGTGCGCTCCAAAAAGGTTAATTCTGCGCTATTTTCAGTCGGAAACATCCCCTACCAAACCACCGAGGACGCCATCGGAAACTACTTCAGTCAAGCCGGAAATGTCACCAACGTCCGGTAAGTATACCTCTACCCATAGCCCTACCCAACCCTCCTAAATCACCCTTTTCCAGAATCGTTTACGATCGTGAAACCGGACGACCAAAGGGATTCGGCTTCTGTGAGTTCTCCGATGAAGCTGGAGCACAAAATGCCGTCAATACTCTCAATGGTGCTGACTTCAATGGACGATCCTTGAGAGTGAACTGGGCCAACAAGAACTAAATATATCTTTGATCTCGCTCTCCACGCAGTCAACACCATACAACAAACATCAAAAAATCCTTTGTCGTTGTATAAATTTGACAATTTTGCATTGAAATGTCTCATTTATTATTGTTTTCATGACGGCAAGTAAAACTGTACGATCATTTCTGTTTTCTGTTCACACAACGAATGTAGAGAGATTAGGAGAGGAGATGAGGCACCCGAATGATCATTGATGTTACAGTAGGAAGAAAGACCAGATTTAATCTTATCAGTGGTGTCTCCGTTGTAAACCGCAT